TTATTAATGTAAAACATTTCACACCAATAAGTTTCTATTGCAGAAATTTAATAGGACTCCATGCATGTTTGAAGACTATGTTATATCTCTCTAATTCCTGTATAAGAAACACTGACCTTCTTGTCCTGCAGTAAAGGATGATCATGAACGCCAGGAAAAAACACTTTCATCACAAACTTCTTGTGTTCCAGCGTAGGGACACCTGAAGCTTGTAAATAGTTGGTCAAATCCATCATGTCTGTCTGTAATTCTGCAAATGCTAAAGAAAAATATCATAACTATAGCAAAAAATATTTTTCTAAAAACATTTAAAATAATTCCTTTAATAAAGAACTTCTAATTAATAAACAACCCATTCATTACTGCGTCAAAAGTATCTACATGTAACTGACCTAATCCGTCTTTTGTTCATATCTACTAATACAAAACCTGAACAGAAAAACTCTTTGTCTGCAAAATTAAATATTTGAAATCAAGTTCTTTCTTCTCCTTTGCAATAACAATGTTAGGAAAAGTTTAATTTTAGAGCATTTTCTATTTTTTCTATGTATTTTCCATCTGATCATTAAATGTTCTTACTGAACAGAAACTGACTGATCTTTAACTTTCTACAAGTATACAGTTAGATGGAAAATGAAAAAAAAATTTTAATTCAATAGTTGAAAATGCTTAAAATGTGATAATTAAGTACTGTGTGTGTTTCACACCTTACAGACACAGAAAAATTAAATTTTTTCACTTATAAACTGAGAGAAAGTTACGATAAATTCCCTAAAATCATCTTTCCTCACCTTGTTTACATTCAGATCGTATACTGTTTTCTAGTGTGTCCATTTGAAGCTGGATCCTTTTGTATTCACGTTCAGCCAAGGTATTCTTGTGCCTCAGGACAGCTAAAATAACAAGGCTTAGGAGCATAAGAAGTGCCCCTCCAGCAGCAATTCCCCAGATGGCCTCAGGAGGAAACTTGTAAGTTTTCATCACTTCATACTGTAGGTAGCCAATCTTGTAACGCAGGTTTTGACCCACTCGGACCTGTATGCATGGAGTCATCCACTGAATTTTAGTAAAATGCAGCTGAGTATAAATGAATGAGATGGATGTATCAAAAGTAATATATTAGAATATTTCTTGATATATTGATCAAAACCTAACAATATGATTCCTACCAATTTTGGGTAGATCAAGTTTATATCGAATGTGAGGAAGCATCTAATTCTTTCCTCATTAAAAGATGCTAGAGAAGTATAAAACTTTTTCTGGTGCTTGTATTGTACGAAGAATCTATATCACAAGTAAAAATATCTAGTTATGTTACAGTATGACCTTTGCTAAAATAGCAGTTTAATTATAAACTTAAAAAAAACAGTCTCAACCATTTAAAAACTTAATTATTATTAAAGATCTAGTCAGTCTTTGGTTTATTGCTTGTTATAATTTACAAACACAATTTATTCTCAAATTAAAATAATAAAGAGTGACTTTAAGCAGAAACTATACAATAAGGTCTCAACTTTTAATATAATTGTATATAAAATGATTTAAACAAACAACTATTTAAAAAGTCCAGTTAGGGGATTTCCTTTCTTACCACAACCATGGGAAGTGCCGTGGCAGTGGATTGTCCCAACTCATCTGTTCCTTGTGGTTGGTCCTCAGGAGGCAGACACACAAGTTGTGTCATGGCTAGTGAGGTCAGGTTACAAGGTCGGGTTCCAATACTTACACTGACCTCAGACTCTGTGCTGGCTAAACGCAGATTTTCTCCCTGTTATTGAGAAATATATTATTTATTATGGTGATTTCAATTCCTTCAAGTATTTAACAAAAGCATTCAAAGCCACAACTCGTGAAGAAGCTACAAAACAGACTAACAATGGTTAGTAGTCTTTATTGTTGAAGGCATCAAATACTGACAATTATCTATAATGCCTGCTTACCTAAATACATATTAGAATTTGAGTAAAACAAAAAACATGAAAACTGGGGATTTTTAGCAGAAAAAGAATTTTAACACTTATACTACAAGAACACATTAATCTTCCTAAATTACCTCAATAACTAGGGACTCTCCTTTGTACAATTTGATTCCATCCCCGCCAAATGAAGAAAACCTTGGGTCTGGTACATAAACCATGTCTGAATGAAGGGCTGGAAACTTTGCCTGAAGGTCTCTAACACTAGTTACATCATCCATAACGAAACCTATCTGGAATTTTAGCTCTTCCATGTGGATTCTTGCGTGTCTTTTACTGTTGGTCAGAAGGGATCGTACAGCATCCCTGCTTAGAGATGGTGAGGGGCATGTCATCAGAGAGTGACTGATGACTTTACATACCTGTAAATATTTTGAACTATGTTGGTGAAAAAGTAAGAAAAAAGAAAGTTTACAGTCATACTGTATATATATATATATATGTTATTATTAACATTCAAAAACTAGTAACTTTATGAATATAAAAATTAATACCACAGATTAATAAACAGTCATATAAACATGAATTCAAAGTAAGAGGGAAAACAACTGCTTTTAAAACAAACTCATTTCATCTGGACAGTTTGTCTTAAAACATGCAAATATCTTAAACAAAAAATCGTGAAATAAAGAAAGACATAATTAACTTTACAAATATTTATTCACTAATACTTACCTGAATTTCCAATTATATGAACATTTATCAAATAATTATGAAAATCTTTCCAGATAATGTAAAGGGATCTACCAATGATTTGTTTATTCCAAAAGCTAAGTTATAATAAGCAGAAATTAAAAGTATATAGCAAAGTTGTTTTCAAATAGTGATTTATTAAACAGTATAAACGTCAAGACCTAACTTCTTTAGAACACTTCTAAGGTTTTACACCCCCCCCCCCCAAAAAAACAACAACACTAAAACCCATAAAACTTTTACTTGAATTTCTTTACTAAGTTACTTTCACTTACAGTCTCATTGAGGAGTGTTTCGTTGTCAAAAATTGCCATACGGGGTTGTTGGATAGCTTGTAGAGAAGTTCCTACGACAGTGACACTTCGTCCACCACTGCATTGTACATTTTGCATATTAGTCAACAATTATAAACACTGTACTATAAAATAACACAACAGTTACTACTATGAAACTTTGGAACAGCTTCTTGAAACACTAAATGCCATTTCTGCCCAAGATGAATAACTAAATAAAACTAAGTACTTCAAACCAATCGCATAACACCAACTAAGATGATGACTGCTTACTGACTTTAAAAACTAACTAATAGAAGTCTCCAGAATTCATAATGTGCTAAAGGCAGAAGTTTAAAACACATACAAATATGCCCCAAACAATCAATCTATGTGCAAAACTGCTTAAAATATACCATATCTGCAAAATGGTTCAAGTTTACCTGACAAAGCTCTTCAAGGGATAGATTCTGAGAATTGTTGGGTCAGGCATATACATATATGGGTTTGATAATGTTAAAGTAGCATTGTCGATAATAAGAATTAGAGTTGAAACATTGTAGCCTGGAGATTGAGCTCTTGTGGTCCGACAACTGACCTGTCTGTTACTGGCTAATGTTCTAGAAAAGATACGGACTTATTAAAATATTCTGAATATGATAAATGATCTAAACAATATTATGTTTCATCTCAGATTAATGCCCAATAACAAAACTAGAATAAATATTCAGATGCTTATACTTAGACAACCTCCCAATGTGTAACTATTATTTTGAAAGCATGAGTGCAAATTATACTAAAGATTACTTTTTTTTATCATTCTTATAGACAACGATATCTCGGGGATCCAAACAAAATATTTGTCAAATGAAGAAAAAGAAAAAACAGGTTACTTTAGATGAAATTTTTTAAATTTTGTACTCGTGACTTTAATAATGATTAACAAAGAATAGAGTTTTTTTTTATTTTTAGTACTTACTTTTAAAGACTTACAACAGGATTTAGAACAACTAAGAATTTAGCTGAATTTGCTTAAAATATATCATTTATCAATCTGTGGTCATCTGATTGTTGTATTCCTTCTTATAAATAACAAAGCAAAACAATCCACTACAAAAAACATTCAACTGTAGGTATAAAACACTCAGCAAAGTTTAGTTTATTATTTTTGTACAGCAAAATTGTAGTTTACTTGTACTTTGGTCAAACAAAACCACTTTTGTAGAGCTTTTAAAATAGTAAGAGGAGTCACAGTGATTGAAAAGAATTTGCCAGAGCTTACTAGATACAAACTGGAATATCATTATGACTGAGCAAATCACAAATTTTTCTCACCTTAACAAGATACGGTATGCACCTCAGAAAAATATTCTGTAGTATATGAAAAATAAATTTAAGTGATAGAGCAAAGATAAATATAAAAGTTTCTTTTATTGATTAAATCACAATCAGTTTTCAATTACAACATTATTTTGATTGCAATATACCTACAGTCTTATAGTCCTTCAAATTATCAATATGTTAGTTTAAAATTAGGTTTACTGACACATATATTTACCTATCAACCATACAGGGCAACTCATCTAAGTAAATGTCCATACGACTTCCAGCATTAAGGTTTTCTCCACTCAGGTATAATCTTGTTCCTCCTGCCTGTGGCCCCATAGTTGGATGGATACTTTTCAACTTCACTACCTGTTATATAATCATTCTTGTTTCTTTGTACTAGATTTGTATGTATTACAACAATTAAACACTAAAAAATTATGTGCAAGAAATTCAATATAATTCAGACAGTTACAAATAATATAAATTTTGATTTAACATGGATGGTACTTTTGTCCAGAGCAATTTTATTTACAGAAACTTTTAACATGAGGTCTTTTTCTTTCGTTAAAAAAATTTGTAACACATAATACATTTTCTTACCTTGTACAAGAATTGTTCACGAGCCTTGGTAAACCCAGCATTATTTCCAACGACTATCTCTGCTGCTTTAGGTGTTTTACTAGGACCCGTACGACAAACAACTCTATGCAATAAAAAATACATACTGCATTTTACACAACCTCCAGAAGTTTTCATAAGTTAACGTGTGTTGATAGATATGCATGTTAAAGTAAATATATCAGTTCATAATAATGTGAGTTATTTCAAGTGTATATACAGTAATAAAATGTGAAACCTCTTGCTTTGTAAATGTGTTCTTGTGCTTTGCCTTTTTTTTTTCCACCATCTAACAAAAACAAACCTACTCTATTAGGTAATTCTTTCTAAATGATGCTGCTGAAGTGATAACTTACAGAAGTTAGTCCTGAGAAATCTTCAGAACATGATTCTTACCTTACTGACACACTATATTCAACTGGAACACATGGGATTCCTCCTATTGTAATTTTGTTGCTTATTTCTTGCTCATTAGTACCAAGGTTACTTCCTTCAATGGCCATTAAGGTGCCACCTTGAATGGGACCACTTAATGGATGTATCTACCATAAAGAAATAAGAGAATTATTCACTGTGTGTGTGAAAAAATGTTTTTACACAAGACACATTAACCTTCCTATCATAAGATATATCAAACAGACTATATAGCCAACATGATTTATAATTGTTTATCTTGATTGTTTAACCCTTTGTATCAGACGTGGGGGTCAAAGTGCACATGGTAGGGGAGAGTAAGTACCAGATACAACATACAGGGGTAATGAAAAAAATTTCAGTAGTTATAGAGGCTATATGTATGACTGAAAAAAGCATTTCTAGTTTTTCACATGAACATCACTTTGCACTTGGACTAGTCAGAGTCTAAGTCAAACTGAAATCATCAATTCAAAGACATATCTTGAATACAAATACTTTAGTTACATATCCAATTTTTTTGTGAACATCAGACTTGTACATTTTAGTAAACACTTGCCACATTAGTTGTAGTTACATGTAGTAAATTCAGAATCATAATCAACATTCTTTCCCCAATAGTCAATCCAATGGACCAGCCTCACGTACATTTAGTTAAAGCAATATACCAGTGATGAGAAAAAACATATATATATATATATATATATATATATATATAT